GAGAGAGAGAGAGAGAGAGAGCTCGGGGTGCAGGAGGTGATGAGGAGGCTGCTGGCTTGCACCCATTGGCCAAAGCAGGTCACATGGGTGGGGTGTGGGCCATGGCCTGGCCCATTAGGGCCGACCTGGAGAGCAGCGCAGAGCATGCTGGGCTCAGGGAGGCCTGGGCCGGATCCTGCGGTTGGAGCCCTGCAGCTCAAGCACCCCAGGGTGGGAGCTGAGGCTGCAGCTGGGATTCTAGAAATGCTTTGGAGAGAAGCACACGGTTTTCGGTTTTCGTGGCTAGATGGGAATGGGCGCAGCATACAATTAATCATTCATGGCCCGTCCTCCCCGCACCCACCTGAGAGCTGTGTGCAGAACAGGCAATACTGTGCGTGCCACATGGGGACTGCAGGGCCCGGCGCCCCGAAAGCCACAGGTGAGCAGGAACAGGTGACACAAAGGCTGGGCGCCATGTGGCCTGCCTGCTGCAGTCCAGGGCTGAGGAGAAAAGCCACCTGCTTCCATTGCAGGGCTGCCAGCGAGTGCGTTTTTATAATAAAAAGACAGGGATTTCAAAGTAAAGGATGTTGGCGCTGACACGGCCCCCTTCAGGCAGCGAGTGTGGCTGGGTGGCCTCCGGGCGGCCTTCCTGTGGCCCTGCCCTGGCTCTGGCCCTGGGAGGTTGAGTACCTGGGGCCCGCTAGTGCTGTGGGTGTGTGCCAGGGACCCTGCAGACTGCTGGGGATCCTGCTCCCACTGAAGCCAGGAAAGTCAAACTCATACAGACTGACATTCCCAGGAGTGGTGGCATATGCCCGTCATCCCAGCACTCTGGGAGGCTGAGGCAGGAGGGTTGCAAATTTGAGCCCAGCCTGGGCATGTAGCGACTTAGTGAGACCCTGTCTCAAAATACAGAAAAAGAGCTGGGAATGGAGCTCAGTGCCAAGGCCCTGGGCTTTACCCCCAGTATAAACAAACACTTGGGCAGGCATAGTGGCGTGTGCCTATAGCCCCAGCTACTCAGAGGCTGAGGCAGGAGGACTGCTTTATTCCCGGAGTCGAGGCTGGGGGGGGGCAAGGCTGTGCTGGGATCATAGGTTTGCACTGAAAAGTACAATTTTTTTTTTTGAAAAGTACAATTTTACTACTGCAAGTTTCCTCACCTGCTTTCTGCCTGTCTTTTAAAAATTTATTTGTTAAAAAAAATTTATTTGTTTATTTTTGGTTGTTGGAGACAGGGTCTTGCTATGTTGTTAAAGCTGGCCTTGAACTCACTGTGTACCCCGGGCTGGGCTCCAACTTGTGGTGATCCTCCTGCCTTAGCCTCCCAAGTGCTGAGATGACGGGCACATGCCTCCACGCCTGGCTTTTCTGCCACCCTACCCCACCCCAGAGGATGCTACCAAGCAGCTGCTGATTATGGAGAGGGAGTCTCTGGCACCAGGGCAGAAGATCACACACAGAGAGCAGGGGGAGGTGGAGAGCAGCTCATTAAAGGAAGAGAAGGGGGGGGAGGGAGGAGGGAGGGGAAGGGATTGAAAAAGGAATCCAGGGCCGGGGATTTAGCTCAGTGGTTCTGCCACCTCCCTCGAAAATGCAAGGTTCCGAGTTGGATCCCGAGTACCATAAAAAACAAAAAATCAAAAAAAGGGAATCAAATTGTATTGTATGCATGTATCCATTCCCCAAGAAGACTGTAAACTGCAAACGTGTACTAACAAAAAAAGAAAGAAGGACAAGAAAGAGAAGCTGGCATGGTGGCACGTACCTGTACTTTCGGCTCTGGAAGGCTGAGGCAGGAGGATCACAGGTTTGATCCCAGCCTGGGGACCTTAGACTCTGTTTCAAAATAAAAGATAAAAGAGATGGGGACACAGCTCAGGGTGAAGGCTCCCAAACACCCCCCCCCACACCAACATTATTTCCAAAGTGCTTCTGGGAGCTTTTGGAGGGAGAGGCTGGGGTGGCCTCAGAGCCTGAGAATTCAGCATCCACAGGCTGCAGCTGCTCCCTGAGGTCTTCCCAGTGTACTTGTCTAAAGCAAATCAACACAAAGTTATTTCCAGCTCTAGTAAGGTTGGCAGGACAGCCTTTCAGTCCTCTGTCCACCCTGTGCAGGGGGCAAGCAGAGGCCAGAGCCCTCCAGGGGCCCCTCCTCCCCCCTCCCCTCTCCTCCCCCTCCTCGCTCAGGATGGTAAGAGCCTGGAGGCCTGGAGCCCAGTGAAGACAAAGCCACTCTGTCTCCTTCCAGGGACACTGGCCCTGTTTGCTGCTGTCCAGGCCTCTAAGCCAAAGCTTCATTCACAGGCCTGGCAGCAGGGGGTGAGTCCCATGGGCCAGGCCCCCCCATCTTGGGCTCAGAGAGGGGCTCTTCCTCCTGTTGCCAGGGTCCAGCCACCTTCTAGGGAGGAGCTGACATCTTGGCTTCCCCTCCCCCTCCCTCAGTTCCACCCTGGTCCCTTGCACACCCCCAGGGCCAACTCTGCCACTGAGCTTCAGCCCAGCTCTGCGGGCTCCTACTTGGGTACAGTTGCTGCTCTGTGTCCCAGCCCTGCAGCCGGGTTCCTCAGCCTGGCCAGGCTGGTGGTCCAGCTGTCTGCATCCAGGGGGTAGTGACAGGTGCCCCGTGGGCACCGCCCGGTCTCCGTGGTGAGGCCTTCCACTGGGAAACCTCGAGGGCTCCGAGCTACCCCAGGTGAGAACCCGGCTCTTTCCTGGGGCCCTCTGCACCCCGGGTCGTCGCTCCTCTGAGTCCCCGAAGTGGTGAGGTTCACTTCCCGTGAGTCCCGTGTCCTGTTGCCCAGCTCTGGCGTGGATAGCGAGGGACCCTTCCATTTCCCCTTTCCTCCCACTCCTGGGAAAGTCCTGGGACAGGAAGGCGAGAGCCCCTCTGAGGTCCCACAGCTGCCAGCCCTGCTTGTGGAGAGCCGAGGTAGGACACCCGCAGGTAACTAGGGCACTGCAGAGCCTGCAGGGCGCTGAGGGCCTTGGTTGGTCAGAGACCCCCCCAGCCGGAACACTGCACTCGGATTCGTTTTCTTTTTTTTTTTGAGACAGGATCTTGATACGTGCTCCAGGCTGCCCTTGAACTCAAGGTGATCCTCCTGCCTCAGCCTCCTGAGTGCTGGCATTACAGGCATGCATTGCCATGCCCGGCTGTACCCTGGCTCTATTCACTCCCTAGAAAGCCAAGGCAGAGGCCTGGGCCCGCATCTCACGGAGGGGCAGGATGGGGGGTCCCCTCTTTAGCTGCAGCCCCACCTCCTTCCAGTTAAACTTGGTCCTGCCTTGAGCCAGAAGCTGTGATCAGGAAAGGAGAATGTAAAAGGGAAGAAGCCCCACGCGCTGACAGCTGTTTTGACAACAGTGCAAGAGCACTCACTGGAGAAGGAACTGTCTTTTCAGTCCCTGGTGCGGGCAGATGGATGTCCATCCACATGCAGAAACTAGACCCCTGTCTCTCACCAGTTACGAAAATCAGCTCACACTGGGTGTGGAGGCACACATCTATAATTCTGGTTTCCCAGGAGGCTGAGGCAGGAGGATTGCAAGCTCAGGCCAGGCTGGGCAACTTAGTGAGATCCTGTCTCAAAATGAAAGTGTTCACAAAGAATGGGGGTGTAACTTGGAGCTCCCTGGTTTCAGTGCCCCCCCCATCAGCTCAAAATGGGTCAGGGGCTAAGGTTTGGGTCGTGATACAGGTTCAAGGAGCCCCTGTGCTGTTGGAGGGCGGCAGGAGGACTCTCTTCATGCAGGCGAAGCCTGGAGGGGCATGGCCCGTGGGCCCCCTCCCTCTCTCCTGGGCCTCAGCCATGAGGGGCAGTTTTCTAGGATGCAGGCACCCGCCGCCCAGCCGGGAGTGGGGAGTGGTGACCCCACGTGCCCCTCACTGACCAGTGCCGGGTGTGTGGGCAGTTTCTCCTGGCCAGTCACCCCCCAGAGTGACAGAGGACTGGAAGTGTTCGGGATGCGGAGGGAGGGCCTGGGAATAGAAACCGGCAACTATTGTGGGACACTGAGTGGTGGTGGCTCAGGACATTAAAAAGACACTGTCAGTTTCCACGGGCCACGTTGTGTGTGGTGTTTACCTTCCAGAGAGGGTGTTAAAGAAAAAGGATTCATGACATCCCTCAAAGAACGGTAAGGCAAAACTGGCTGGTGGCCCAGCCTGTGATCCCAGCACTCAGGAGGCTGAGGCAGGAGGATGGTAAATTCCAGCCCAGCCTGGGCAACTTAGCAAGACCCTATTTGGAAACAAAAAATAAAAAAGAACTGGGATGTAGCTCCGGGTGAGGCCCCTGGGTTCAGTCCCCAATCAAAAAGCAACAACAGAGGTGAGAACACTGGGTAGAACAGATAAGCAAACAAATGACTAAAAGGAAAAATAAAACCACAACAGGTAGGCTGATGCCATTCAAGGGGGCTGTTCCATGGGGTCTCACCAGAGAGGAGTGATCAGAACAGGTGGCGATTTACAGCCAAGGAAAGGTTCAGTGGACAGAAAAACCCAGAGGAAATGCCTTAGCCCGGCCGTCACAGCTGGGGATTCCAGTTAAACTGACTGCATGAGATTCCTGCGCCAGCAGCCCCGCCTGTAGAATCAAGGCAGGCTGGCTGCTGCCCCAACTTGGCCGAGTTCCTTCTTGATGAACCTGGACAAAGGGACCCAAACCACTGCAGTGAGGACAGCAGGGGATCAGAAAGACAAGTGCCAGGTGGTAGTGGTGCATGCCTGTGATCCTGGCAATGGGGAGGCTGAGCCAGGAGGATCTCCACAAGTTTGAGGCCACCCTCAGCTACATAGAGAGACCCTGTATCAAAAACAAAAAACCAAACAAACAAAAAAATCAGCTTGGTGTGGTGTCACAGGCCTGCAATCCCAGCACTTGGGAGGCTGAGGCAGGAGGATTGCCATGAGTTCCAGGCCAGTGTGAGCTTCATAGTAAGACCCTGTCTCAAAAAACAAAGCAAAATAAAAATCAGAATTTGAAAAGCAACAAAGAAGAAATTCCAGGATTTAAACCTATTCAAAATAAAAAATAACCCAGGAGGGCTGTAGGGAGCAGTTTCTTTTTGTCCCCAGCAGCAGCCGATAGAGCCCACCGTGCCCTCCCCTTCCCTGGGCTGAAGCTGGAGTGGGCCTGAGCTTATGGGGGTGGGGGCGCCTCCCCCGCAACTCTACTTCTGAGAAGAAGCTGGTCCCGCATTTCCCAAACACAACAGGGTCCTCACTAGGACCAATCCAACCTCAAGATCCTGATTGTTGAAAAATTTAACTGGAGGGCCGGGGATTTAGCTCAGTGGTTTCACCACCTGCTGCAAGCTCAAGGACCCGAGTTCAATCCCCGGTACCAAAAAAAAAAAGAAAAGAAAAATTTAACTGGGGGCCAGGGGTTCAGTTCCCTGCCAGAGCGCGGCTTGGCAAAGGCCTGGGTCGGCCACCAGAAAATGAACCACTGCAGCAAACAAACAAACAAGCACACACCATCACTCCGAGGCCAGGAGACAGAGGCCCGCACTCAAGGTTTCCACGTAAACAGCAAAACAAAACTTAGTAACAGGTTCAATTTAACTGAAGTGCCACATGGGGCTGTGCCCTTTTCTTTTTTTTTTTTTTGGCACTGGGGATCGAACTTGGGTCCTTGCGCTTGCGCAGCAGGCGTTGGAACCACTGAGCTAAATCCCCGGCCCAATCAGGGCTGTGCACTTTAACCAATCACATATGTAGTTCTTATCATCCCAGCACTTGGGAGGCTGAGGCAAGATCACTTGAGCCAGGAGCTAGAGGCAGCCTGGGTGCCTTGGTGAGAGCACCAAGGACAGGGTAGGGGAGGTCGGGTCCACACGGCAATGACTTCCTGTCTTGCTTCCTGAACACTTCAGACACGTTTTCCCCTCAGCGGACCCCCGACCTTTCGCCCTCTGCTGCTGCCTGGTTCATGAACCGCTGTCAGGTCAAATACTTTGTTTTCAGATTTGATGTGCCTCAGTTTATCTTTTTTTATTTTTTATTTTTTTTGAGACAGGGTCTCACTATGTAGCTCAGGCTGGTCTTGAACTCACCAACCTGCAGCAATCCTCCTGCCTCAGCTTCCCGAATGCTAGGCTCTCAGTTTACCTTTTTTTTTGGTACCAGGGATTGAACTCAGGACCTTGCACTTGCGAGGCAGGTGCGGCACCCTGAGCTACATCCCCGGGCCTCAGTTTATCTTTTAACCCAGTGAATGGCCCAGGTTCCCCCTTGGGTGCTATGGACAGGGCATGCCTCTCTCCTGTTGCTGAGCAGCCTTACACACACCCAGGCCACATGCTCATTCCCTTTCTCTCATGGTGTTTCCCCCGGCGCCCTGGCCGCGGTGTCCCTGAGCCCCGAGTGACCTCCCACGTGTTTCCGCGCCTCTAGTTCCTGTGGACGCCTGCTCTGGCCTCCCCAGCCCGGGGTATCTGGGCCCCACCGCGCTGGGGTCCGGCTGCCTGGGAGTGAATCCCTAAGCGGGGTCACCACCCCGGACACGCCCTGGCACTCTCTAGGCCTCAGCTGCCCTGTTTGTTGAAAGGAGGAGAAATACCTGTCCTGCCTAACTCACAATGTTGTCCACAAAGAAACTGTCCATCCCTCACCTCTGGTCGCAGCACTCTGGGAGGCCGAGGCAGGAGGATCGCAATTCAGCTCAACCCTGGCAATTTAGGAAGATCCCAGTCTCAACAAAGAGGCCGGGGATGTAGCTCATAGCGAAGGCCCTGAGTTCAATCCCCAGTTACGCAAACGCAAAGGCAAAAGTAAAATGCAGACAAAAACCTCAGCAAACCACCAGGCAGCACCAGGCAGAAGCCTAGGATGTGCGTGTGTGGGCGTGGTCTGCAACTTGAAGGACGTTTGTCTCCTCCAATCAATAACCTGCAAGTTGTGCTCGCTTTCGGCAGCACATATATAATAACAAGTCGGCCAGCAGGCGGGGAACAGCGCCCGGCTCTCCCCGACTGGTTTGAGCAGCGCACGTGTTGACAGCACCTCGATCTTCGCCTCTCAGGG